ATGGGCCTGAGCTGAGCTCCTGCTGAGCTGCCAACAGGTGGCAGGATGGCTCAGCTAAAAAATAAATAAATAAATAAATAGATAGATAGATAAATAAATAAATAAATGTAATAGACTGAATGCTGCTATCAAAAGACGTATGGTAGCTGAATGGATAAGCAAACAAAACCCTTACATATGCTACCTACAAAAGACGCAATTCAGATCAAAAGGCATACCCAAACAAAGTAAAGTGATGGAAAAATATATTTTATAAAAATGGAAACAAACAAAAAAGCTGGGGTAGCAATACTTACACCAGACAAAATAGACTTTAAAACAAAGACTGTAACAAGAGACAAAGGAGGAACCAATAATCCCATTTCTGGGTATTTACCTGAAGCAACCCAAAATTCTACTTCAAGGGCACATATGCCTCCATATGTTCATTGGTGCATTGTTTACAATGGCCAAGATGTGGAGGCAGCCTGGGTGTCTGTCGATGGATGAATGGATAAAGAGTAAGTGGTACATATATACAATGGAATATTGCTTGGCCATAGATGGGAATGGGTTCTTGTCCTCTGCAATAGCATGGATGGACCTGGAGGGTATTATGCTGAGTGGAGTGTCAGACAGAGAAAGACAGATGCAATATGATTTTGTTTATATGTGGAATCTAAAGAACAAAATAAACAAACAAAACAAACTCATAGTTACAAAAAAACATTTTGATGGTTGCCAGATGGGAAGGGGGTTGGGAGTAGGTGAAAAAAAGGAATTAAAAAGTACAAAATGTTTGTTACAAAGTAGTCATGGAGATGTAGGGTATAGCATAAGGAATATAGTCAATAATATTGTAATTAACTATGTACAGTGTCAGATGGGGACTAGATTTATCGGGGTGATAGATGGGAGGAGGGTTGGAGAGCAGGGTGAAAAGGTGAAGAGATTAAGAAATACAAATTCTGGGGCCGGCCAAGTGGCACGATGGTTAAGAACTCGCTTGGGATGCCAGAGGGCCCCGGTTCGGATCCCACATATGAGGGCCAGTGACACTGCCCTCCGCAGCTGAG